AAAAAAAAAAACATTAGCTGCGGCAAATACTTGTACCGAATCATCGTTGGACCAAATTGTCAATTAAAAAAAAAAACATCATCCTTCACTTTTTTTCCGACGTGTCTGAACCGCTCGTCTCCCCTGGGTGCCGCCTGGACCAGAGCCTGGACAGAATGTTCCTCCCTTTCACTCTACCCTCAACCGATATCCTCTCATTTACCCTGTCCTCCGAAGTGTCCCAGTCCTCAGATGTGTCAGTGGTGGAGCTCGTGTACGATCCATGTGCTGGCCCGGGAGTGTTGGGCCCGGAAGCCAAACGGGCCTGATCGCAGAAGAAGAGCACCTGCACCACCACTCGCATGGGGAGCCGCTCGTTCTGTACAGCGTGCGCACACGCATCGGCCGACAGCTTCTTGCAGTCCATTAGCCGGCACACTCTCTTTTTCTCGCTCTTGCTCAACGACGGGTGTTCCTGTAAAATATTATTTATTATTCATGTTCATCACAGCTTTCATTTATTAACCACATATTAACCTACTTAACATTCAAAACGGTAAACAAACCTTGAGGAACATGTCGACTGCACGGTAAATTCCATCGTGACTCGATCTAGGGAAGCCCGAAACCATCTCAGCTAACCCCACAAACTTCGAAAAAGGCAAAGATGGGTCCCTAGCAACCTCGGCTAGGTACCCATCAACCAGTCGGGCCACCTTAGCCTTAGATTCACCATCTCCATATTCTCCTCCCATCACGAAACCCTCGACCAATTCCCGAACAACATCTATATCGTATACGCCCGTCTCTCCACTCGAAGAACGGATCAGAAAATCGTCCACACGAGCCTCACCCAACCGAACAACAATTTTTCTCGTGAGCTCCCTTCTGCCAGACTCCACACATCCAAAAACAATCGATGCTTGCAATAGCCTCAGCAGAAAATCGCAGCCCCCCGTGCAGAAGTTTTTTTCGGTCGGTAGCAAACCAATGATCGTGTCTACCAAATACGAGCACCTCGGGACATCGGCCCCTTTGCTGAGAAGCAGTGGGACCCGCTTCAGAACGTACGCCCTGAGTGACTCAACTATCACATCCTCCGGCACTTTCCCCTTCGCCCGTATCGTGGTCACGACCCGTTTGTACAGATCAACCGGGAGCGAGCACAGGTCCTCAACCCACCAGTCGACCCGCGAGGGGTCGGTCGAGACACGGGCCGCAACTGAGTCCAGGCAACGGCTCACGATTTTCGACTCCTCAGACCAAGGGAAAAGGGGAGCTGTGGTACGGAGCACGATTATTGAGTCCTTCCAGCTGCGGAGGACACTGGATGTGAGGAAAACATCGATTTTGTAGATTAGATTTCCTTTATCGACCGTCTCGTACATCTCGAGGTACTCGGCTGCACACCTGGCAGCTGCCACATTGTAGGGATTGAGGGTCACGACCATACCGTAGCAGAACTTAGCGCATATCTCGAAGGAAGCAGGCCCACCTGGGATGTCATGGATGTCAACCTCATCGGTTGTGGCAGCCACGAGCTTCTGGAGGTGGGAGCTCTTGGAGAGCAGAGGGAACTGCAAAGCATATGAAAGATTACGTAAGCGTTTTATTCCTTTTTTTTCCCCTTTCATTCGTTGTTGAGTGATATACAACAACAAAACTTGTGGTTAGATGTGTGAATATTAATTAAAAAACTAACTAATATAGAAGCACCTCAACATCAATTCTAGAATATTTTTTTTAAATAAAGCAGGTCAATGTAAATGCAAGAGTAAAAAACTAAGGCTACTTGTAATATTCATAGAAATTGAGGGATGTGACTGAAATACTTGAATGATGTGTGGGACGCCCATTAGGACTATCAACAAATGAGTAGTCATAGTAAACGTACAAAGTCCATGGTTGAAACCGATTTTGAATCTCATAAGTGTTTCTGAGCAAGGGTACTTAGAATGACTATACAAGCATGAATTTTATAAATTAAATCAACACGACAAGCCTGGTAATACCATTTATTTTCCATCTTAGAAGACCATGCACGAAAGAACTGCAAATGAGATAATGAAGCAAAAAGAACTTCATACAATAATTTACAAGTGCTTGCTTAGGATAGATGTTAACCAGTATCAAGCAAACCGAAAGGGTAACATTTCAATTACTCTATAACCAATATAATTGTAAGAAGATTATGCACCTTGTGGACATAAAACTTGACTTCCCCAACACTGACAACCATGTCAGTTGCCAGCTCTGATGCTACATACCTGAAAAGCAAATGAGCAGCCATTTTCACTATACTAGTTCAAATTGTAAAGAAAATTTTCATGCTCCAAGAGGTATTGAGGACGTGCAAGGATAGAATGATATCAAAACGGCGCGTAAAATCTTGTTCTCATTGTAATTTTAGCCATTTCAGTTACAAATTCAAAGGCAGGTCTTTATCGCAAACAGGTCCACAAAAACTTTTATATTAACATGACAATCATAGATTCTCAGCGTCAAACTCTCCCTCCCTCTCTCTCTCTCTCTCTCTCTAAACTACATTATCTGCTACAGAATGTTATTTATATGCAATTTCAAAACCCAAAAAAAAAAAAAAAAAAAAAAAAAA